AAGCAATGAAAACGAACACAGAACAACACACCGACTATGGGATGCAGCAAAAGCAGTTCTGACAGGGAAGTTCACAGCACTACAGACCTACCTGAAGAATCAAGAAAATTTTCTAATAGACTATCTATCCTCACAATTTAAAGAACTAAAAAGCAAACAAACAAATAAACAAAAAAAAACAGAGGAAGTAGAAGGAAAAAAAAAACATAGTAAAGATCAGAGCAACAATAAACAACATAGGGACTAAGAAAAAGAAAACAATTCAAAAGATCAATAAAACAAAGAGCTGGTTCTTTGAAAAGATAAACAAGATTGATTAACCTTTAGCTAGACTCACCATGAAACAAAGAAAGAGGACTCAAACATAATTAGACAGGAAGAGGAGAAGTAATAACTGATACCACAGAAATACAAAGGATCATTAACAAATATTATGAACAATGATATGACAACTTATTCGACAATCTAAGCGAAATCAACAAATTTGTAGAAACACAGTTTCTCAAAACTGAACCAGGAAGAAATAGAAAAATTGAACAGAACATTAACAACTAAGGAAATTGAAGATGTAATCAAGAATCTCCCAGCAAACAAAAGCCCAGGCCCGGATGGCTTCACAGGGGAGTTTTAATGAACATTCAAAAAAGAACTAACACCCGTTCTCCTCAAATTATTCCTAAACATTCAAGAAGAAGGAAGACTTGCAAACTAGTTTTATGAGGCCAGCATAACTCTGATTCCAAAACCAGATAAAGACACCACAAAGAAAGAAAACTACAGGCCAATATGCCTGATGAACATAGATGCCAAAATCCATAAGAAAATCTTAGCAAATTGGTTCCAGCCATACATTAAAAAAATTATTCACCATGATCAAGTGGGATGCCACGTTGGTACAATATTTGCATATCAATAAATGTGATACACCACATAAAGAAAATGAAAGATAAAAACAATGTGATCATACCAATAGATGCTGAAAAAGCATTAGAAATAATGCAACACCCATTTCTGATTAAAAAGGTCAGCATTGTGGGAATAGAGGGATCATATCTTGACATAATAAAGGCCATATATGGAAAACCTACAGTCAAAATCATACTCAATGGGCAAAAACTAAAAGCATTTTTCTTACGAAGAGAAACAAAACAGGGATGCCCACTTTTGCCACTCTTACTTAACATAGTACTGGAAGTCTTATCCACAGTAATCAGACATGAAGAAAAATTAAAAGGGATCCAAATTGAAAAGGAGGAAGTGAAACTCATTATTTGCAGATGATATTATATTGTACATAGAAAATCCTAAAGACTCCATCAAAAATCTACTAGGTTTAATAAACAAATTTGTCAAGTTAGCAGGATACAAAATTAACATAAAAAAATCAACAGCATTTTTATACACCAATGATGAACTCACAGAAAGAGAAACTAAAAAACAATCTCATTGAACATTGCAGCAAAAAATTAAGATACCTTTGAATAAACTTAATCAAATAAATAAAGGACTTATTTGCAGAAAACTATAGGACATTGAAAAAAGTAATAGAGGAAGATATAAAAATGTGGAAACATACACCTTGTTCATGGAACTGGAGAAATTAACATCACTAAAATCTTTGTACTACCGAAAGCTATCTATAGATTCAATGCAATCCCCGTTAAAATACCAACGACATACTTCACAGAACTAGAACAAATACTTCAAAAGTTCATATGAAACCAAACAATACCCCGAATAGCCACAGCAATCTTGAAAAAAAGAACAAAGTAGGAGGACTCACAATACCGAATATCATGTTATACTACAAAGCCATTGTAATCAAAACAGCCTGGTACTGACACAAGAACAGGCATATAGATCAATGGAACAGAACAGAAAACTTGGAAATTGGCTCAAGACATTATGCTCAATTAATATTTGACAAAGGTGGCAAGGGCATACAGTGGAGTCAAGATAGCCTTTTTAATAAATGGTCCTGGGAAATGTGGACATACTAGCAAAAAAAATGAAGCTACACCACCAATTTATACCATATATACTAATAAACTCAAAATGGATAAAAGACTTAAATGTGACTCATTAATCCATAAAAATCCTAGAAGAAAATATAGGCAAAACAAATTTCAGACATCACGTATAGCAGAATTTTTACTGATACAGCACCTAAGGCAAGAGAAACAAAGCAAAAAATAATACATGAACTATATCAAACTAAAATGCTTCTGCACAGCAAAAGAAACAATCATCAAAATGGAAAGGGAACACACCATATGGTGGAGCATAATTGCCAAAAATATATCAGGTAAGGGGTTAATTTCCAAAATATATAGAGTACGCATACAACTCAATAATAGGAAGACAAACAATCTAATTAAAAAATGGACCGAGGAACTAAATAGACACCTCTCCAAGAAGGACTTACAAATGCCCAAGAGACATATGAAAAAATGCTCAACATCACTAATCATCAGACAGATGCAAATTAAAATGACTATATGGCATCACCTCACACCTCTCAGAATGGCCGCCATCAACAAATCATCACACATCGGTGCTGGCGAGGGTGTGGAGAAAAGGAAACTCTAGTACACTGCTGGTGGGAATGCAGACTGGTGCAGCCACTATGGAGAACAAGATGGGGTTTACTGAAAAAAAAAATTTAACTGCCATTTGACCCAGTGATCCTACTTCTAGGGATATATCCTACGAAACCTGAAACACCAGTCTGAAAGAGTATATGTATCTCTATGTTCATAACAGCACTACTTATAATTGCTAAGATCTGGAAACAGCTCAGGTGTCCATCAATAGATGAGTGGATAAAAAAGCAGTGGTACATATACACAATAGCACATTATGGAGCTGTAAGAAAGAAAGATCTTGTATCCTTTAAGAAGACATGGAGGGACCTGGAGGGTATCATGCTAAGTGAAATAAACCAATCAGAGAAAGACAAATACCACATTATCTCACTTATTTGTGGAATACAATGACCAAAAAAAAAAAAAAGCTGATGAACAAAACAGACCCAGATACATAGAAAGGGGTATGGTTCAGATGGACAAACCTCAGAGGAGAGGGGCAGGGGTGAGGGATGGTATAAAGGAAATACCTTATATGCATGTATGCGTTACTAATGGACATAGACAACAATGCTTGGTTGCTTGGGGGAGGGGGTTAAGGAGGAGGGTGTCTGCAGGAAAAAAAGGAGAAACATCTGTAACAAAAAATAAATTAATAAATAAAGTAAACAGAAAAAGAACCAATGAAAGTAACCCGGCATAATTTGGCTTGTGAAGTACCCTTCCCTCCTCAACCTCTGCTATCTCCTCTCTGCTGTGCTTAGGGGGGGTGGGCAAGAAGTAGATGGGAAGGAAGATAGGAAAGTTACTATAGACCAGTTCTGTTCCTAATCAAAATTTAGTACCTTTTGCACTTTGCTTTGGTAAACTATTTGTCATTGTCTTATTTTCCATGTCCCCAGGACTGCTGGGTAGACATAAAGTAATTCCCCCCTTGGAATTACTCATAAGAGGCACTATCTTAAAAATACTAATATAACTGGAGGGAAGAAACACAATTTTCTTTATTAAACTCATGGAAATTTTAAGTATCCAACACAAGGAGCAGGTTTGTCAGTGAAATACATTTATCTTGTGTCAAATTCTTTGAGTCATAAAACCCCCTTTGTGCCTCAAAAATAATGAGTGATTTAGTGAGATATTGTAGGCTAACTTGAGAATTGAGGTTTTCTCTAGGACACATAGGGAATTTTGTAACTATTAGTCAGAGCTGCAAGGACACTGATTCTCTAGTTCCAATCTTTATTTTTCAGGTAGGGAAACTGAAAATAAAAGATAGCTAAGTATTTAATGAAGGGCACACACTTAATTTCTGTCTACCAAACTAGGTAGAGTTCTTGCTAATACACATCTGAGCATGTTTGCTTTAGTCATCCTGCTTTGAGCAATATCTAGTGTTGCTGCTGTGATCATTTGCGAGGTGTCACATATTTATCCCGTTTAACAATTAGCCAGGACTGGAGATGCTTACCAGTTGGCAATTCACAATTCCAAGAGCATGGCAGGAATTTAATCCAATATAAGCAGGGTCTATACAGGTTAGCTAGAAACAGCTCATCAAAGCTAGGTCACAGTGAACTCTGAATTTTTGCTGTGTGAGTCCAATTTCTACATAGGAGGCTACTATCTAGGCCAAGGAAAGTTGAGATTCAAATTTTTTGAAAGAAATTATAGAAGAAAACCTGAAATACATTATTTGGGCATATTAATGGAGGGGGGGAATGAGTATGGAGCATGTATGGCAAATCATACCACATTTAGATTTCCATTGAAAAATCCATTCACAGTCTCTCCCATATGTTGTCCATGTTAGGAAAGCATGAGCTCTTCAGATTAGATCTCTGAGGTTTTTTATGTCTTCCCTTAACTTTGTATTTTTCTGGCTAGTTACTGTGTGTGTGTTCTCCAAGAGCCATCTCCTTTAGCAGCAGAACTATCTTTTGTGCCTGTTCATTATCAGGATAAAGATAATCTTTCTACACATCTCTCCTCTCCAGTATAATTTTTAAATTGGTTAACTTACATGATAGCCTATTGTGGAGATTTATTTTAGAAATTATTAAAGTGCTATCAGCAGTAAAAGAGTCAGAACCTGCTTTTTAAAGATTTCTTTGGATGGGGGTAGTAGCTAAGGGAGCTCGGCTAGGGCAGATAAGTTATATTTGTTTTTCTAAAGGTGGTAAGGTGGGATTTAGATCTGATTTAAAAATATAAATACTGAATGCTGCTTTGAAAGTCTATCTAGTTCATTTACGGCATCCTTTGTGTTCATAAATGCATGGATCTCAGTGAACCTAAACAAACAAAATCCCATTACTGTTAGGCATACTCTATTCCTAATAAACAGGATCTCAGCTTTATGTTCAATACCATTCATTTTAGCTTGACTTCATTTTCTGTTCTTCTTACTTTAAGGTTAACAATTCATGCCGAGTGTCCCATGCATTTGGAAGATTTTCCCATGGATGTGCATGCCTGCCCACTGAAGTTTGGAAGCTGTACGTATTTTCTCACTTTCTGTTTGTCTGAGCTTTTTCCAAAAGAAGTGGAATATTTCCTATTCTGTCCTCCTAGTAATGTTTAAAGCTGAGGCCTTTAATCCAGGCTGGTATGGGGAGGGGGAAGTCGGGTTGAGTAATACTAACTGATCAGGAGAAAGAGACAGCCTTTAATGGAATTTCCTTTCTAGACAGCAAACCTTATTTCACCATTTCAGATTCATTTCTCTGTTATTACATTGAAATATTAACATATATTTCTTAAATTGTCTAGAAGACAGAGCTGATATAGAGTATAAGAGTATAGTAGCAGCTTCCTAAGGACAAATTCCCTCAAATGGAATGTTATTATATTTTTGTAATGACTATTCTACCTGCATCCTCCTATACTTCTATCCAATTCTCTACAGATGGTAAACAGGAAGAGACTCTTCTCATTTTTAGAGTATTGCTTTTGTTGGTAGCTGTAAATCTGACAGAAATGAGCCCATTTTCAAATGAATTAGAATGAACAGAATTTTAGTGAGTTTCTTACTCTAAGAATTTCAGAATTAGTTTTATATGAGTCATCAGAGCAATATATCAAGGTCTGTGCTGATCACGTCTAAATTAGATTTAGCTCTGTATTTTGAAATAGAAAGTGCATTTAAAGAGACTCAAATAATTATATGTAACATATTTTTTTCAATCATTGTCAAATATTTACAGATTGTGTGCCAGGCTCTATTCTAGTAGCTTGCATCCATGAATAAAACAAAAACCCTGCACTTGTGGAGTTTATATAATAGAGGAGAGAGTGATGGTGAAAGATAAAATAAACAATGGAAAAAAAGAAAGTATAAAGTATGTTGTGAAACAAGAAGCACCATGGGAAGATATGAAAGTACTACAGAATAAAAGGGTTATATCATGTCATGTCTAGGTGGAGGATCGTGTTGCCAATGACATTTAAAATGGGGTGATCAGCATATGCTTCTTTGAAAAAGTGACATTTGAGCAGAAATTTTAAGGAGGTAAAAGTGTTAACAACACAGATATCTAAGGCAGTCGTGTTACAGATGGGGGGAACAGCCAAGGGCAAGACTCTGATCACAAAAGTGTCTGATTTGTTCTAAGAACACCAAAGTGGCCAGTGTGGCTGGACAATAGGAGAGAAAGTATTAGGAGAGGATGACATCAAAGGGGAAGACGAGTCATCTAGAGTCAGGTAGGACATTAAAGGGCTTTGAATTCTATTCTGAGGAAAAATGAGGGGTGATTGTAATATTTATAAAAATAATTACATTATCTGGCTTATGTTTTTTAAAAATCATTATGGATACTCTGTTAAAAATGTAAGTATGGGAAGGATAGAAGTAGAGAATCCAGTTAAGAGTTTGTTAATATTTCAGATGAGAGTTGATAATGGTTCAGATCAGGGTGATAGTGGAAAAAGTGGTGAGAAGTATCTCGATTATGGATATATTGTGAAGGATGATCCAAAAGGATCCTCCAATGAATTAGATGTGACATATCAGGAAAAGGGAGAACTCAAAGTGACTTGCAGATTTTTGTTTTAATGTATATACTATCAAAATAGATGAGTATTATTTCTAATCTGGGTACCACAAAGTTGTTTGTGGGTGACCAGCATTCCCCTCATGCACAATTAGAAAACCTAGAACTGTAGAAGCAACAAGAATTGGAAAGACTAAAATTCTGAAGAAAGGGCACAACCTCTCGTAGATGATATTTTGGCCTGCAGCTTCTTGATACCTGGTGGTAAAGTAGAACTTGCCAATTCTGGCCATGGATTTCATGTTAGAATAGTAAATTTGGGTCCAGGCATAAAGCTGCTACTGGATGATAGATTTTGTTGCTATTGTTACATTTATTTGTTTATTATTTATCATTTATATTTCTCTTTATTTTATCTTATTTTTTCCATCAACATTTATTCCCCCTATATCTTCTTCTACCTCCACCCACTCACTTATCCCCACAATCACCATACTGTTCTCCATGTAATGAGTTCTTTCCCTCTTTTCTCTTTTTTTGCTCAATTCCTCTACCCCCCAATCTCCCCACCCTGACAACTGTCAGCCTGCTCTTTGTCTATGAGTCTGTCTCTATTTTGCTTGTTCAGTTTGTTCATTAGTTACATATATGTGTGAAATCAAATGGTACTTGTCTTTCTCTGACTGGCTTATTTCACTTAGTATAATGTTCTCCAGGTTCATCCACGTTGTTGCAAAGAGTAAAATTTTCTTCTTCTTTATGACCACCTAGTATTCCATTGTGTAAATGTACCATAGCTGTTTTATCCACTCATCTGTTGATGGATACACGGGGAACTTCTAAATCATGGCTATTTTAAATAACGCTGCAATTAACAAAGAGGTACATGTATTCTTTCAAATTAGTGTGTTGGGTTTCTTTGGATTAATTCCAAGAAGTGGGTCCTAATAGAGTTCCATTTTTCATCTTTTGAGGAAATTCTATACCGTTTTCAACAGTAGCTGCATCACTCTGTATTCCCACCAACAGTGCACGAGGGTTCCCCTTTTGCCACATCCTCGCCAGCACTTGCTGTTTGTTGATTTTTTTTTTTTTTAGATTTCATGTATTTATTTTTAATTTTTTATTTATTAATTTGTTTTTGTTACATATGTCTCTCATTATTTCCCCATTGACACCCTCCTCCCTTCCCACTCACCCCATCCCCAGCTTTGTCCTCTATGTTCATTGGTCATGCATACATGCATGTAAGTTCTGTGGTTTAACTCTCCTCCCTCAAGTCCCCTTCTCTGAGGCTTGTCAGTCTGTACCTCAACCCTATATCTCTGGGTTAATTTTGTTCATCAGTTTGTTTAGTTCATTAAATTCCACAAATAAGTGAGATCATGTGATTTTTTTCTTTCTCCGCTTGGCTTGTTTCGCTTAGCATAATACTTTTCAGGTCCTTCCATGCCATCTCAAAGGATAAGAGATCTTTCTTTCTTACAACTGCATAGTATTCCATTGTGTACATGTACCACAGCTCTTTCATCCACTCATCTACTGATGGACACCTGGGTTGTTTCCAGATCTTAGCTATTGTAAAAAGTGCTGCTATGAACATAGGGTTACATATATTCTTTCTGATTGGTGTTTCAGGTTTCTTAGGGTATATTCCTAGAAGTGGGATCACTGGGTCAAATGGAAGTTCAATATTTATTTTTTTGAGGTAACACCATATTGTTTTCCATAGTGGCTGCACCAGTCTGCATTCCCACCAGCAGTGTACTAGGGTTCCCTTTTCTCCACACCCTCGCCAACACTTGCTGTTTGATGATTTGTTGATGGCAGACATTCTGACAGGTGTGAGGTGATGCCTCATAGTTGTTTTAATTTGCATCTCTCTGATGATTATTGACATTGAGCATTTCTTCATATGTCTCTTGGACATTTGTATGTCCTTTTGGAGAGGTGTCTATTTAGTTCCGCTGCCCATTTTTTAATTGGGTTCTTTGTCTTCCTTTTGTTGAGTTGTATGAGCATTCTATACATTTTGGAAATTAACCCCTTATCTGATGCATCATTGGTGATTACGGTCTTTCATATAGTGAGATCCCTTTCCATTTTGATGGTTGTATCTTTTGCTGTGCAGAATCTTTGGAGTTTGGTGTAGTCCTATGCGTTCATTTGTTCCTTTGTTTCTGTTGCCTTAGGTGTTGTATCAGTGAAAATTCTATTGCGTATGATGTCGGAAATTTTTTTGCCTGCATTTTCTTCTAGAATTTTTATGGATTCCCAAGTTACATTTAAATCTTTTATCCATTTTGAGTTTATTCTCGTGTATGGTGTAAGTTGGTGTTCTAGCTTCATTTTTTTGTAAGTAACTGTCCAATTTCCCCAACAGCATTTATTGAAGAAACTGTCTTGACTCCACTGTATGCTCTTGCCCCCTTTGTCAAATATTAATTGTGCATATTGTCTTGGATCAGTTTCTGGGTTCTCTATTGTGTTCTCTTGATCTATTTGCCTGTTCTTGTGCCAGTACCAAGCTGTATTGATTACAGTGGCTTTGTAGTATAACCTGAATCTGGTAATGTGACCCCTCCTACTTTGTTCTTTTTCAAGATTGCTGTGGTTATTTGGGATCCTTTTTGTTTCCATATAAACTTTTGAAATGTTTGTTCTAGTTCTGTGAAGTATGTCATTGGTATTTAGATGGGGATTGCATTGAATCTGTAGATTGCTTTGGGTAATATAGACATTTAATGATGTTAATTCTTCCAATCCATGAACAAGGTATGTGCTTCCACTTTTTTATATCTTTCTCTATTTCTATTTCCAATGACCTGTAGTTTTCTTTGAAGAGGTTCTTTATGTCTTTGGTTAAATTTATTCTTAGGTATCTTAATTTTTTGCTGTGATAATAAATGAGATTTATTCTTTTACTTTCTTGTTCTGTGATTTCATCATTGATGTATAAGAATGCTGTTGATTTCTTGATGTTAATTTTGTATCCTGTTACTTTGCCAAATTTATTTATTAGGTCAAGCAGACTTATGATAAAGTCTGTAGGGTTTTCTATGTCCAATATCATGTTATCTGCAATTAATGACAGTTTCACTTCCTCCTTTCCAGTTTGGATCCCGTTCATTTTTTGTTCATGTATAATTGCTGTGGCTAATACTCCCAGTACTATGTTAAATAAGAGTGGCAAAAGTGGGTATCACTGCCTTGTTCCTGTTCTTAAGGAAAATGCTTTCAATTTTTTCCCATTGACTATGATGTTGGCTGTAGGTTTTTCATATATGGCCTTTATTGTGTCAAGATATGATCCCTCTATTCCCACATTGCTGAGCATTTTTATCAGAAATGGGTGCTGGATTTTTTTGAATGTTTTTTCAGCATCTATTGATATAATCATATGGTTTTTATCTTTCATTTTGTTTATGTTTTGTATCACATTTATTGATTTGAGAATATTGTACCATTCTTGCATGCCTGGAATGAAACCCAGTTGGTCAGAT